AGGGAGCTGGGCCTACTTGTGAGGCGTCCGGCGGTGCTGGGCCTGTAGGTTCTCCGGGTGCTTCGTCTCGGCGGGAGCCACTCTCTCCACAGGAGCTGCGCGAGTGGTTTGCCCGGCGCTGGAGGTTCTTCGGCTACTGGGGGTGCTGGTACCGCCGGTCCCGGAGGTGCTCGTACCGGAGGTACTGGAGCGGCTGGGCCGACGGGTGCGTCTGGAGCTGGAGCTGATGAGGGTGCTGGCGCTGAGGCTACTGCTGTCGGTCCTCCCGGCGGTGCTGCTGGAGTTACTGGAGCTGGAGGTGCTGCTGGCGCTTGTGCTGCCGTTGGGGTTGCTGGTGCAGTCCCTGCTGTGTCTGGAGTCGCCGCGCGGCCTTGGCCGTACTTCGTTCCGCTCCTTCTGCAGGTTCTTGGTCTCCCGCCTTCTACTGGTCCTCCTCCTCCCTTAGAGTGTCCACAGCCTGTCCCGTCACAATTACAGTTACAGCCCGCCTCCCCACTACCTGCTCCTTCTCCCTACACTGGTCCTACTAGAGGTCTTGCTGAGCGTCGTGAGCCTGGGTCTCGCCCTGCGTCGCCTGTCTGTCCCTGGCACGCACCGGATGTCTCTGCGTCCGTCCACTGCTCCTCTTCGTGCCCTGTTGCCTTCTCCTCTTGAGTCCTCTCTTCCTACTCTTGCCGACCCTGAGTCGGACTCTCTTTGTGATGCCAGTCCTACTGTCACGCGTCTCCTTGCTACTGTCGTCACTGACCCTTCTTTTGAGTCCACTGCTGCGTCTTCCCTAGTCTTGTCTCTGAGTCTGAGTCTGTCTGTCCTCCGTCCCTCGGGGGTGAGTGTGCCCTTGGCACGGACGTCTTTGAGGACAGGCAGGAGGAGTTCCTGTGTCTGGCTGCTGCTTCACCTCATCTCGTGTCCGTACTGCTTACCCTTGAGGGAGACTCGGATGCACTTGACATCCCGACTCCGCGCTCTTACGCGGAGGCGATAGAGGGTCCCTACTCCACTCAGTGGCAGGCAGCTATGGACGAAGAGATGGCTTCCTAAAAGTCCACAGGCACCTACGTTGACGAGGTTCCCCCACCTGGGGCAAACATCGTCAGTGGCATGTGGATTTTCAGGGTGAAGTGGCAAGTGACCACGCTGCTGTAGCTCACGAGCAAGGAAGTAGCGAAGAGCAATGTGCTTTGTTCTGTGCTCCAGTCTCTGCTCTCGACACAAGGCCAGCATGGCCTTGTTGTCTACGTACAGGACTGGAGGAGAACGAGGCGGCTCTCCAAGGTCGGTCAGCAGGTAGGTGAGCCAGCGAAGCTCCTGTGCAGCCATGGCCCCGGCGTAGATCTCAGCCTCACAACTGGAGCCGAGAACAGAAGACGAGCGAGTAGCCCGCCACGAAACAGAGCCGGAACCAAGGCTGAAGGTGTAACCCTGTGACGACTGCTGCGTAGCCTGGTCGTCAGCCCAAGAAGCGTCCGCGTGCCCAGTGAGGACCACTGGACTCCGCCCTCCAAGCACTAGCCCCATGCCCGACGTACTGCACAAGTAGCGCAACACCCTCTTCGCTGCAGCCATGTGCTCTGGTCGGTGTCTCCCAGGAGCAACATAGCGTGCAAGAATGCTAAGAGGGTATGCAAGGTCAGGTCGTGTGCAGGTCATCAGGTACATGAGGCAGCCAACAAGCTCTGGATACGAGCCACTCGACTCTACGGACTCATCCGAAGGCAGAGCTGAGAGTGAGTGGCGAGTAGGCTGAGGAGTGGCCTGAGGCGAGGAGTACGTGAAGCCGAAGCGTTGAAGGACCTGCTGCACCATGTGTGACTGAGTCAGGGTAATGGTGCGGCGTGCTCTGTCCCGGGTGATCTGCAAGCCAAGGTAGCTGCGCAGTTCACCCAGGTCAGTGCACGTGTGTCTCTTCTGCAGCTCTGACTTCACGTAGGCGAGTCCAGCAGTGTCAGCTGTGGCAAAGACCAAGTCGTTGACGTACACGAGGATGTAGAACGGCGGCAGAGAGGTGTCGGTGTGCAGAAACAGCGACGGGTCGGCAGTAGAAGGAGCAAACCCAAGAGCCGCAAGCGTAGTCCTCAGTGTGTCGTGCCACTCACGTGGCGCCTGGCGGAGACCGTAGACTTGACGCCGGAGACTCCACTGGGTACCAGGAGGGAAAGACCCAGTGAAGCCAGGTGGGCGGCGCAGCCAGATCTCGTGCAGGTTGCCCTGCAAGAAAGCTGTGCTGAAGTCGAGAGAGTGCAGCTCGTAGTCACGGTGAGCAGCAACGTGCAGCAGTACCCGAAGAATGGTCATCTTTGGGGTGGGGGAGAAGGTCTGAAAGTAGTCAACTCCCTGCCGCTGACTGAAGCCACGAGCCACGTAACGCGCCTTGAAGACAGGCGGAGAACCCGGCGGCCGCTTCACCCTGAAGATCCACATGCCACTGACGATGTTCGCCCCAAGAGGGGGGACAGCGTCAACGTAGGTGCCTGTGGACTTCCAGGAAGCCATCTCTTCATCCATAGCTGCCTGCCACTGAAAGGAGTAGGGACCCTCTATCGCCTCCGCGTAAGAGCGCGGAGTCGGGATGTCAAGTGCATCCGGGTCTCCCTCAGGGGTAAGCAGTACGGACACGAGATGAGGTGAAGCAGCTGCCAGACACTGGAACTCCTCATGCCTGTCCTCAAGGACGTCCGTGCCAAGGGCACACTCACCCCCGACAGACGGAGGACAGACAGACTCAGACTCAGCGACAAGACTAGCAGCGTAGTCTAGGCGACAGCGAGCAGCAAAGTTGACGAGCTCAGTAAGTAGGGCAGACGCAGCAGTGGACTCGAAAGAAGGGTCAGTGACGTCAGTAGCAAGGAGACGCGTGATAGTAGGACTGGCAGCACGAAGAGAGTCCGACTCCGGGTCGGCAAGAGCAGGAAGAGAGGACTCAGGAGGAGAAGGCAAAGGGGCACGCAGAGGAGCAGTGGACGGACGCAGAGACATCTTGTGCGTGCCAGGCACAGGAGGAGAACGCTGACGCGAACCACGACCACTAGCGCGAGCAGCACGGACAGGCAACGCAGGGCGAGACGCAGGCTCACGAAGCTCATCAAGACCTCCAGTAGGACCAGTGTAGGGAGAAAGAGCAGGCAAAGGGGAGGTAGGCTTCAACTGTAACTGTGACGGGACGGGCTGTGGACTCTCTAAAGAAGGAGGAGGACCAGTAGAAGGGGGAAGACCAAGAACCTGCTAAAGGAGTGGAATGAAGTACGGTCGAGGCCGCGCGGCGACGCTTGACACCGCAGGGATAGCACCAGTACCCCCAGCAGGAGCACCCTCTCCAGCAGCACCTCCAGCAGCTCCAGAACCTCCAGCAGTACCAGGAGCACCGCCAGCAGGACCGCCAGCGGTAGTCTCAGCGCCAACACCCTCAGCAGCACCAGCTCCAGACGAACCTGCAGGCCCAGCAGCTCCTGTACTCCCAGTACGAGCACCTCCGGGACCCGCGACAGCAGCACCCTCAGCAGCCGAAGAACCTCCAGCACCAGCAGCACGGCGCCAGCGGCGGGCAAACCACTCGCGCAGTTCTTGTGGAGAGAGTGGCTCCCGGCGAGACGAAGCACCCGGAGAACCTCCAGGCGGAGCACCTCCAGGCCCAGCACCCCCAGAATCAGCACCCCCAGTCTCAGCACCCCCAGGCTCAGCACCCCCAGGCGTAGCACCCCCAGGCTCAGCACCCCCAGGCTCAGCACTTCTAGGCTCCGCACCCCCAGGCCCAGCACCCGTAGGCTCAACACCCCCAAGCTCAGCACCCCCAAATTCAGCACCCCCAGGCTCAGCACCCTCAGCAGCACCAGAGTCACGAGTGACCTCGACAGGCTCGACTGCGTCTACCTGGGACACACCTGAAGGGGCAGGACCCTGAGGGGGGAGGGGGTCTACCGGGGGGGGACCTGGTACAAGGAAGGGCGGGGGCGGGGGGAGGGACTGAGTGCGGTAGGGGAAGAGGCGGTAGTAGGGAACGACTCGTCAAACGTGATGTCCTGGGAGGACAGAACATGGCGAGAGGTGGGGTGGTAGAACTGCCACCCTGGCGCGTCAGGGGGGAACCCCAGGAAGACGCAAGGAGCAGCACGAGGGGACAGCTTGTCCGCAGACAAGTCGCGGACAAACGCCCTAGATCCCCACACCCGGAACGTCGACGCATCGCCAACCTTCCCCGTCCACAGCAAGGTTGGGGAGGTCTCCGGCCTAGAGACCCTGGGGTGAAGGTTGATCTTATGCGCCGCGTACCTCACCGCAAACGGTCACAGAAAATGGGGGGCACCCGCATGCATCATCTATCAAGAATAGTAGGTGTGGGGCCTAGGCTTAGTAGCCTAGGCCCACACTAGGAGGTAGTTGAGTTTGCTCTAGAACTAGGAGTTAGGGTTTAGGAAGGAGAATTGGAAAGAAGAATGAGATGCACTAGCAAGCAGCAGGACACACAAATAGAAAACCCTAAGGGGTTGTACTCAGTATTGAGCACCCCACTGCAGGCTAGACAAATAACATTCTTACACACCCCCATAGCCAAAGTGGGGTGTAATCAGCAGAGCAGGCAAAGCAGTACAAGCTCAGGGTGGATCACAATGTCACCACACAGTCTGAGCACAAGTTAAAGAAGCAATAGTTTAAAGTTAAGAATTATGAGCAAAGCTAGTGGTAGTCACAACGGGCAAGTGAGGAGGAGGAGAGAGAGTGAGGGGAGAGGAGATAGGAGGAGACAGCTGAAGCTGCAGACACACGGGCAACAGGAGGTAGACTGGCACAGCGGCTACCGGACTAAGCGCCCGGACTACAGGAGTAACAGGCCCCGCGGCTAAAGTAGCGGCAGACGAGCAACGGACCCACGGGCGGCTGGCGTAGAAGTCTGGCTCACTGGGCTACCGGGACAGCGCCCCGGACTACAGGTGCTACGGACTACAGTACGGCAACTTCCATGCAGCTTCCCCAAACAGTCCCACCCCCCTGACACACACCCGCTGCTACACCGCTAGCTCCACTCCCACGCACCCCCCTCAAACCCTAAACCCCAGTCTCCCACACAACCACCCCCCTCAGCGACAGCTGCAGCAGTGGGAGACGAAGGAGGAGGAGGAGCAAAGGGAGGAATGCACACCAGCCACCCCCATACCCGCAAACGGGGGGGGGGGGAGAGAGGAGAAACAGTGCGCACGAGGGCGCAGACTGTAGCAGAGCGCACGAGGGCACGAGCACGAGGCACGAGCAGCACCAGGCACATGCAGCACAGGGCAGCACAGGCACGGGCAGCACAGGGCAGCACAGGCACGGGCAGCAACAGGCACAGGCAGCACAGGCACGGGCAGTACAGGCACGGGCAGCACAGGCACGGGCAGCACAGGCACAGGAAGCAACAGGCACAGGCAGCACAGGGCAGCACAGGCACGGGCAGCAACAGGCACAGGCAGCACAGGCACGGGCAGCACAGGCACGGGCAGCACAGGCACAGGCAGCACAGGCACAGGCAGCAACAGGCACAGGCAGCACAGGGCAGCACAGGCACGGGCAGCAACAGGCACAGGCAGCACAGGCACGGGCAGCACAGGCACGGGCAGCACAGGCACGGGCAGCACAGGCACAGGCAGCAACAGGCACAGGCAGCACAGGGCAGCACAAACACGGGCAGCAACAGGCACAGGCAGCACAGGCACGGGCAGCACAGGCACGGGCAGCACAGACACGGGCAGCACAGGCACAGGCAGCAACAGGCACAGGGAGCACAGGGCAGCACAGGCACGGGCAGCAACAGGCACAGGCAGCACAGGCACGGGCAGCACAGGCACGGGCAGCAACAGGCACTGGCAGCACAAGCACGGGCAGCACAGGCACGGGCAGCACAGGCACGGGCAGCACAGGCACGGGCAGCAACAGGCACAGGCAGTACAAGCACGGGCAGCACAGGCACGGGCAGCACAGGCACGGGCAGCACAGGCACAGGCAGCAACAGGCACGGGCAGCACAGGGCAGCACAGGCAGGGCAGCACAGGGCAGCACAGGCACGGGCAGCACAGGCAGGGCAGCACAGAGCTTACCGGGTCCAGGGGCGGCAGCTGTTGCAGGCGCTGGCGGCGGCTGCTGCTGCAGGCTCTGGCGGCGGCTGCTGCTGCTGGGCGGCGGTGGCTGCTGCGGCAGAGCGGCGGCGGCTGCTGCTGCTGGTAGAGCGGCGGCTGCTGCTGCTGGGTCGGTGGTGGCAGCTGCTGCAGGCTCGGCGGCGGCTGCTGCTGCAGGCTCGGCGGCGGCTGCTGCTGCAGGCTCTGGCGGCGGCTGCTGCTGCAGACTCTGGCGGCGGCTGTTGCTGCAGGCTCTGGCGGCGGCTGCTGCTGCAGGCTCTGGCAGCGGCTGCTGCTGCAGGCCTGGCGGCGGCTGCTACTGCAGGGCGGCGGCGTCTGCTGCTGCAGGCCTGGCGGCGGCTGCTGCTGCAGGGCGGCGGCGGCTGCTGCTGCAGGATCTGACGGCGCCCCGCGGGTCCCGCAGGGGGGGTCGCGACGAGCAGTGGCGATGCCCCGCGGGTCCCACAGGGGGCGTCGCGACGAGCAGGGGCGACGCCCCGCGGGTCCCGCACGGACGTCGCGACGAGCAGGGCGACGCCGCGCGGGTCCCGCAGGGGGCGTCGCGATGAGCAGGGGCGACGCCCCGCGGGTCCCGCACGGACGTCGCGACGAGCAGGGCGACGCCGCGCGGGTCCCGCAGGGGGCGCCGTGACGAGCAGCGGCGATGCCCCGCGGGTCCCGAACGGACGTCGCGACGAGCAGCGGGGAGGGCAGCGCGCAGGCCCCCCCGAGGGCGCTCCGACGGACGGGAAAACCGCCGCGCGCCCCGAGCGCGCGGCGGGCAGAAATAGCCGCCACGCGTTCGAAGCGCGTGGCGGGATGAAAAAGCAATGCCGCGCACCACGGGGCGAGCGGCGGATAATACAGCAGCGGAAGTAGGTGGTGGGCCCGATGAACTAGGCGGCAGGATCGTGCCGGCTCTAGATACCATATCAAGAATAGTAGGTGTGGGGCCTAGGCTTAGTAGCCTAGGCCCACACTAGGAGGTAGTTGAGTTTGCTCTAGAACTAGGAGTTAGGGTTTAGGAAGGAGAATTGGAAGGAAGAATGAGATGCACTAGCAAGCAGCAGGACACACAAATAGAAAACCCTAAGGGGTTGTACTCAGTATTGAGCACCCCACTGCAGGCTAGACAAATAACATTCTGACATCATCGACGCACGAGCGACGTCCATGACCATGCCAATGCGGCGCTCAGCAATCCCATTTTGCTGCGGAGAGTCCGGAAGCGTGAAGGTCTGACAGATGCCTTGTGCACGACAGTAGGCTCGCAGAAGACCAGAGGAGAACTCTCCGCCTCTGTCCGAGTGCAGACGCAGAACAGGAAAGTCCGAGCCAAAGCTCTGCCTGAGCTAGAGACGAGCTGCGCGGATCCAGTCGATCAGCACCTCAGTGACATCATCCTTGCTGTGCAAGGGGAAGACTGCGGTGTAACGCGAGTAATCGTCAACAACGAGCAGGAAGTAGCGCTCGTGACCCTGTCCACGGACGTGGGCTGGGCCCCACACGTCCATGTGAAGCGTCTGCAACGGGGCCTTTGTCGGAGGAAACTGGGAGGAGTGAGGGGCAGCACGCTGGCGCCCCTCGACACAGGGGACACAGGTAGGGCCAGGGCCCTGAGGAAGGGGAGGGAGGGACCGGGGGAGACCAGACACAAGAAGACGGGAGGCCATGCCTCTGAGCCGAAGCAGAGAGGGGTGACCAAGGCGGTGGTGCCAGAGGAGGGTCTCGTGAGACAGTAGACAACACGAACAGGGGGCAGACTCAGGACCAGACCTGGACGCTGCAGCAAACACCTGGCCAGACGCAGTGACCCTACCAGACTCACCAACGGGAGCAGACGCAGTGGTCAGTGTGTACAGGCTCGACCCCGGCTGTACCCCATATGTGCTACCCCACTATAGCCTACAACAGCTACGTCATATAAATCTGCCACACCCCCATAGGCAAAGTGGGGGAGAACAAGGGGCCACAAGACCAGTCAACCAAAGCAAAGCAAGCTCAGGGTGGATCACAAAGTCACCACACATTCCGAGCACAAGTTCAAGGCCACAAGGCTAGTTCACATGCAGGAGTACATATATATAAAAGGCTATACAAACAAGCGCAGGTGTATATATATATGTAGCAGTACAAACAAGGTCAAGAGGTGAGCAAGTGAGGCAAGGCAGGCACAAGACCCAGCTGAGCACAGAAGCGCTGATGGTCACAAGGCGCAAGTGCCTTGGTGAAGATATCAGCAGTGTTGGCCTCAGAGGCCACGTACGCAAGCCGCAACTGACCACGCTGCTGCAACACACGAGCAAGAAAGCGGCGGAGAGCAATGTGCTTCGTTCTGTGCTCCAGTCTCTGCTCCCGACACAAGGCCAGCATGGCCTTGTTGTCTACATACAGCACTGGAGGAGAACGAGGCGGCTCTCCGAGGTCAGTCAGCAGGTAGGTGAGCCAGCGAAGCTCCTGTGCAGCCATGACTCCAGCGTATATCTCAGCCTCACAACTAGAGCCGAGAACAGAAGACGAGCGGGTAGCCCGCCACGAAACAGAGCCGGAACCAAGGCTGAAGGTGTAACCCTGTGACGACCGCTGCGTAGCCTGGTCGTCAGCCCAAGAAGCGTCTGCGTGTCCAGTGAGGACCACTGGACTCTGCCCTCCAAGCACAAGCCCCATGCCTGACGTACTGCACAAGTAGCGCAACACCCTCTTCGCTGCAGCCATGTGCTCTGGTCTGTGTCTCCCAGGAGCAACATAGCGTGCGAGAATGCTAAGAGGGTATGCAAGGTCAGGTCGTGTGCAGGTCATCAGGTACATGAGGCAGCCAACTAACTCTGGATACGGGCCACTCGACTCTACGGACTCATCCGAAGGCAGAGCTGAGAGCGAGTGGCGAGTAGGCAGAGGAGTGGCCTGAGGTGAGAAGTACGTGAAGCCGAAGCGCTTAAGGACCTGCTGCACCATGTGTGACTCAGTCAGGGTAATGGTGCGGCGTGCTCTGTCCCGGGTGATCTGCAAGCCAAGGTAGCTGCGCAGTTCACCCAGGTCTGTGCACATGTGTCTCTTCTGCAGCTCGTACTTCACGTGGGCGAGTCCAGCAGTGTCAGCTGTGGCAAAGACCAAGTCATCGACGTACACGAGGATGTAGAACAGCGGCAAAGAAGTGTCGGTGCGCAGAAACAGCGACGGGTCAGCAGTAGAGGGAGCAAACCCAAGAGCCGCAAGTGTAGTCCTCAGTGTGTCGTGCCACTCACGCGGTGCCTGGCGGAGACCATAGACTGGCCGCCGGAGGCTCCACTGGGTGCTAGGAGGAAAAGACCCAGTGAAGCCAGGTGGGCGGCGCAGCCAGATCTCCTCGTGCAGGCTGCCCTGCAAGAAAGCAGTGCTGAATTTAAGAGAGTGCAGCTCGTAGTCACGGTGAGCAGCTATGTGCAGAAGTTCCCAAAGAGTGGTCATCTTCGGGGTGGGAGAGAAGGTCTGAAAGTAGTCAATTCCCTGCCGCTGACTGAAGCCACGAGCCACGTAACGCGCCTTGAAGACAGGCGGAGAACCTGGCGGTCGCTTCACCCTGAAAATCCACATGCCACTGACGATGTTCGCCCCAGGAGGGGGAACGTCGTCAACGTAGGTGCCTGTGGACTTCTAGGAAGCCATCTCTGCGTCCATAGCTGCCTGCCACTGAGAGGAGTAGGGACTCTCTATCGCCTCCGCGTAAGAGCGCGGAGTCGGGATGTCAAGTGCATCCGGGTCTCCCTCAGGGGTAAGCAGTACGGACACGAGATGAGGTGAAGCAGCAGCTAGACACTGGAACTCCTCCTGCCTATCCTCAAGGACGTCCGTGCCAAGGGCACACTCACCCCCGACGGACAGAGGACAGACAGACTCAGACTCAGCAACAAGACTGGCAGCGTAGTCTAGGCGACAGCGAGCAGCAAAGTCGACAAGCTCAGCAACTAGGGCAGACGCAGCAGTGGACTCAAAGGAAGGGTTAGTGACAACAGTAGCAAGGAGACGCGTGACAGTAGGACTAGTGGCGCGAAGAGAGTCCGACTTCGGGTCGGCAAGAGCAGGAAGAGAAGACTCAGGAGGAGAAGGCAATGGGGCATGCGCAAGAGCAGTGGACGGACGTAGAGACATCCAATGCGTGCCAGGGACAGGAGGAGGACGCTGACGCGAACCACGACCACTAGTGCGAGCAGCACGGACAGGCGACGCAGGGTGAGACGCAGGCTCACGACGCTCAGCAAGACCTCCAATAGGACCAGTGTAGGGAGAATGAGCAGGCAGTGGGGAGGCCGGCTGTAACTGTGACTTAGACGGGACAGGCTGTGGACACTCTAAGGGAGGAGGAGGACCAGTAGAAGGCGGGAGACCAAGAACCTGCTTAAGGAGCGGAACGAAGTACGGCCGAGGCCGCGCGGCGACTCCCGACACAGCAGAGACAGCACCGGGACCCCCAGTGGTAGCACCAGCGCCAGCAGTACCTCCAGCTCCAGTACCTCCAGCAGCACCAGTAGCACCCCCAGCAGGACCACCTCCAGGACCGACAGCAGTAGCCTCAGCGCCAACACCCTCAGCAGCTCCACCTCCAGAAGTACTGGCAGGCCCAGCAGCTCCAATACTCCCAGTACGAGAACCTCCGGGACCCGCAGCACCAGCACCCTCAGCAGCCGAAGAGACTCCAGCTCCAGCAGCACGCCTCCAGCGCCGGGCACACTCGCGCAGCTCCTGTGGAGAGAGTGGCTCCCGGCAAGACGAAGCACCCGGAGAACCGCCAGGCACAGCACCGCCAGACGCCACACGAGGAGGCCCAGCTCCCTCAGACTCCGCACCCCCAGGCTCAGCCCCTCTAGGCGTAGCACCCCCAGGCTCAGCACCCCCAGGCGTAGCACCCCCAGGCTCAGCACCCCCAGGCTCAGCACCCCCAGACTCAGCACCCCGAGGCTCAGCACCCCCAGTCGTAGTACCCTGAGGCTCAGCACCCCTAGGCGTAGCACCCATTTTTTCAGCACCCCCAGAGTCACCAGCGACCTTGACAGGCTCAACAGCGTCTACCTGGGACACACCGGAAGGGGCAGGACCCTGAGGGGGAAGGGGGTGTACCGGGGGGGGACCTGGCACAAGGAAGAGCGGTGGCGGGGGGAGGGATGGAGTGCGGTAGGGGAAGAGACGGTAGTAGGAGACCGACTCATTGAACGTGACATCTTGGGAGGACAGAACACGGCGAGGGGTGGGGTGGTAGAACTGCCACCCTGGCGCGTCAGGGGGGAAACCCAGGAAGACGCAAGGAGCAGCACGAGGGGACAGCTTGTCCGCAGACAAGTCGCGGACAAACGCCCGAGATCCCCAGACACGGAACGCAGACGCATCGCCAACCTTCCCCGTCCATAGCAAGGCTAGGGAGGTCTCCGGCATGGAGACCCTGGGCTGAATGTTGATCTGATGCGCCGCGTACCGAACCGCAAACGGCCACAGAAAATGGGAGGCAGCCGCATGCATCATAGACGTACGGGCGACGTCCATGACCATGCCAATGCGGCACTCAGCAATCCCATTTTGCTGTGGAGAGTCCGGAAGCGTGAAGGTCTGGCGGATGCCTCGTGCACGACAGTAGGCTCGCAGAAGGCCAGAGGAGAACTGTCCGCCTCTGTCAGAGTGCAGACGCAGAACAGGAAAGTCCGAGCCGAAGCTCTGCCTGAGCTGAAGACGAGCTGCGCGGATCCAATCGATCAACACCTCAGTGACATCACCCTTGCTGCACAAGGGGAAGACTGTGGTGTAACGCGAGTAGTCGTCAACCACCAGCAGGAAGTAGCGCTCGTGACCCTGTCCACGGACGTGGGCCGGGCCCCACACGTCCATGTGAAGCGTCTGCAGCGGGGCCTCTGTCGGAGGAACCTGGGAGGAGTGAGGGGCAGCCCGCTGCCGCCCCTCGACGCA